ATGCCAAATTTCAGAGATGGTAAGATGAGGAAAGGGACTGTCTTAGCACTTATGAGTTAGTTTTAAAAGCCACAGCAAAAAGAAAAAAAAGCCACAGTAAAAAACTGGTCATTCCTTTTAACATTCACGAGGTGTTACTTTTTCCAGGTTGCACTTCGAAATTTGTCAGAATGAGGAACCATGGACTCACCTCTACCTTCAAGGAGCACTGGTTTTTGCACACAGTTGGAGAAGATTGCTCTGGAGGCAACCCTGAGCCCCTGCAGGAGGACAGAACTACACTCCTGTATTATTTAGACCCTCTGGGACAGTGTTGGGTGGGCTGAAGCTATACAGCATGGTGCACCTCCTACTTCTTGTTTCACTGGGCTGCTGGAGCCTCTGGCATGAGTGAGGATAGGAGCATTTGGAGAGGGTTCATCTTTGTCTCATTTTTAGTTTTTAAATTAGATGTTTTTATGAGACTACATTCTGAAGCAGAGGCCCCAGAGCTCAAATTCATCTTCCAGGTAGTCTAGCAAGACTAAAGGGCTCTGGGCACTCTGCCTTCTCCCTCTGGCTAGACTGTCAGCTCTACCTGTCATCTCCATGGAGGAGCCCTGGGTGATCGTGATTATAGAAGGAAAAGAAGCCAGCCTATTGCTAGACATTGGAACACGTCTCTTTGTCCTTCTCTTCAATCCTGGCCTTCCTTCCAGCCATCATACCTCAATAAAAGGACTCATCAGGAAAAATAACTCACTTAAGCTGTAACTGGGATAACTTTTTCTTCACCCATTCCTTGTACTTATGCCTAAAAGTCTACCTCCCATCCTGGGGAGAGATGTGCACTGTCTAAATACTGTAATATTTAAACCTAGGTTACCAGCTAAGTAAAATGATGCTGAGACTGGTTTTACAAATACTGGTTTTACAAATATTTACAAATAGAAATATTGTTTACGTACAATAACTTCAGAGTTTTTCATTGGTCAAAGTAATATGTTTACTGTTATAATCTGGTTCTCAAGTCATCAAAATTTTTGAGATAATTGCAGCTAAAATTGGAGGGTCTTATAAATTAGATGCTTTTAGCAAATACAAGGTTTTTGCAATGGGTTTTTTGGGACACCTTTTCCAAATTTTTAAGGATCTTTTCTGCAGCTGTATACTAAAAAGTTTATCATAAATTAATGTTCAGTTTTATCAAATTCATTTTCTATATGTACTGAGATAATCAAATAGTTTTCCTCTTTGATCTGTCAAAGGGGTAAATTACAGTAGATTTTCCTGTGTTAAGTAAATTGTGACTTCCTACAATAAATCTACTTTCAGGTGTGAGGCAAAAAGTAAAAAGACAATAAAGGATGGATTGACAGTATCACTGTTTAAAACTTAGGTACCTCAAAGCATAAAAACATTAAGTTCAGCGGCAATCTGTGGAAACAACAGTAACATCTTCCTGGCTGGGCGCGGTGGCGCATGCCTGTAATCCCAGCACTCAGAAGGCTGAGGCAGGAGGGTTGTTGCAAGTTCGAGACCAGCCTGGGCTACAAAGTGAGCCCAAAGCCAGCCTGAATTGCACGGCTAGACCCTGTCTCAAAAAGACAAAAAAAAAACCCAAAACGCAACAACAAAAAACCCCAGTAACATCTTCCTCTTTGGTGAAAGAGGGAGGCCTGCAGCAGCCAGGAGTTGTACTGAGGAAACAGTGTCCACCCAGATGGTGTCCTGGAGCAGCCCTGCATGCAAAGAGCCAACCCAGCTGAAAGGACACTCTTGGGCTCATCATAAGTATGGCCAGTGACACACTTACTCTTCAGGCTGTGAAGGCCTCAGTTTGCAGTGAGCGCTGGTCTGTTCCCTAATGCTGTAGAGAGGTCTCATGACCTTTGGTCTCCATAGATCACTTTTAGGAGGGGTCACTCTGTTCCTGCAGAGACAATGATTGCTCTGTCAAAAGTTCTACAAGGGTAAACAGTGTGCCATCTGTCCCTTAGACGCAGCCTGGTAACAAGATTTGGCTGAATATGAATTTCACGTCCAAGTCTGAATCTTTCTCCTGGTACTATCCACACCTCAGCTTGGCTTAGCCTTTTTTGCCTTCTGTTATGGAAAATGCCAGTGCATAATCACACACACACACACACATGCACATGCACGTGCACACACAGTGGGTGGAGCGAGGATTATGAACTTCCATGCCTCAACTCCCAACCTCAGCCGCTGTCAGCTCAGAGACTGTCCAGTTTCATGTGAGCCCAAAAGAGCCCCTTCTCTGGATTATTGTGAAGCATATCCTAGAGGTCAGAGTATTTCCTTCACAAATGCTTCAAGGTGTGTCTTTTTGAAAAGATGATTTTAAAAAGCATTATAATATTAACAATTATCTTTCATGTTGTCAGAAACCCAGCAGCACTAAGGTTTCCACACAATTCACCCATTTGAAGTCTACAATTCAGCGCTCTTTAGTGTGTTTGCAGACATGTACAACCATCACTACAGCTCATTTTAGGACATTTCATCACCTCAAGAAGCTTGCCTCAAGCTATCAAGAGTACTTTCTGGGTGTGTAGACTTTGTAGATTTCCTTCTTCTGGACATTTTATAGAAATGAGATCATACAGTAAGGTGTGTGTGTGTGTGCTCATTCACTTAATGTTTTCAATGTTCATCTTCTTATATGGATGTAAACCATTTGTTTATCCATTCATCAGATAATGGGAATTTATTTCCATCTTTCAGGCATTGTGAGTAATGCTGCTATGAACCTTTGAGCACAAGATTTTGTGTGGGCATATGTCTTCATTGCTTTTGGGTATATACCTAGAAGTGGGGTTGTTGGGTCATACAGTAACTGTGTCTGAGGTACTACAGCACTTTTTCCCAAATCAGCCACACTGGGCTGGGGATTTAGCTCAGCGGCAAAAGCGCCTGCCTGGCAAGCGCAAGGTCGTGAGTTCGGTTCCCGGTACCGGAGAAAAACAAACAAACAAACAAACAAACAAAAAAAAAAACCAAATCAGCTGCACTGTAGAGAACACTAAAGCTGGAAATCAATCACCTGCTGGGGGCTAAGATAAAACCGGCCCCAGAACAAGGGGAGCTCCTCCAGACATGTAAACAAGCTGTTCCAGCTTGCAAACTGGTTGCTAGGCAGAGAGGTTGAAATTGACATCAACCTCCTGGGTGTGTACAGTTCTTGGGCAGTTCCTTTTTCTCCACCTGGCCTCAGCTTTCATGTCTTTATTTCTAAATCTTCTGGCCACTTTTCCTCCAGAACATCTAGAGCTGCATGGTATGCAGCACTGCACTGCTTTACATGTCCACTAGCTGGGCATGAATGTTCTAATTTTTCCACACCCTTGGCAAGAAATATTATCTGGTGTTTGCAGTCTAGTGGGAATAAAGTCTCATTGTGATTTTAATTTGTACATTCCTGATGACAAATGATGTTGAGTATCATTTCATATATAGCTTATTGGCTATATATCTTCTTTGGAGAAACATCTATTAAAGTCCTTTGCCCATTTTTTTTTTTATTTTAAAGAATAAAAGAAGGATAACATAATAATAGGGGGGACTTAGCAAATTACAGACAAAATGGTAGGAAATTATCAATGGTTATCGTTTTACA